AGCTAAATCGCTAAATTTGCATTTCGTGATCGAAAAGATCCATCAGAGAAGTAACGAGGATATGTGAATGATAATGTACAACTTTATTAAGTTTTTGCCTTCAATTATGTTGTTGTCGGATCGTAGACTTGTTAGTCTTGTCAATGTTACACCGTTGGAATCATTGTGCAGATGCATTTCCCCTGGGATATCAAGTATGCAGCTGGGTCGGACGCAATGTGTGTTATTACTTGAATTCGTGTCTGAATTTGACCATCTGGTGCCTCATTTCCAGCAAGAGAGTGTTAATCCTTGCAGAGTTTGTAAGTACTTATGGACAACTCCGCCCTATAGAGGTGCGCCTAATTATTCTCACAAGAAATACAGTTTACGACTCCAATTATTCAAGGATGATATATATATTTATCTCCGGGTGATCATACGTGGCTTCCACACGACATTACACGCATGTACATTTTGGGAATATATCTTCTAGCCTACCATGCAGTGAATAATCAAATCAGAGGTATCTGAGCTGGTTGGTAAAGTGTGATGCACTAGAGAAGTTTCATTTACTACATCTACAATCCGTCTATTCATATGTAACCTGTCTTCCATTCCCACTATAAGATAGCTAGTAGTTTCTCTACACATCAAAATAGAAAATTGGAAACCACAACCACAGTAGGAGAAAGGGAGCGGGGAAAAGGAAAATTTAGTATAGGCAAGGATGATAAAAGGAAGGCTATGAGTGTATTTGATTGATAGTCGGATACCGTAAGAATGAGATGCATCGGAAATTTGTGTCAAAGCAGCACATCTATCGTGAGTACCACATAGTTTGTTGACAGAATCTATGGCGGAAGAAACATTTTACAGTGTGTTTTGGAGCCTACCTAGTTTCCCGCATGCCTCGGCGCAACCAGACCGGCTGCTAGGATCATGTATCCAATACTCTAGCACATGCTCATCTGGGTCTGTCTAAGCAAAGGTCTAAGCAAATAAATTATTGCCTGCATCAGATCCTAATTATATGTTTTGTATAATACCAGAGCAAGATCCGTCAATTTATTTATTTTTAAATAACACATAACTCGCGCCCAAATGTGTCTGAATCCCATAGAGGATTGCCAATGCACTCTCTTCATCCAGCACAACAAATACGTTTGGACCCCTGTTTGGAAACCTCCCATAGGTTTTTTATCGCCTTCTCGTTGGAAGAATAGTTAGCCCCCCGGCCAAAAAAAGAAGAATAGTTAGCCAATGTGGTAGATCATAGTACCAAGTGAGTGCTGAGGGAACATGTGTTTCGAACTCGCGTATTCATGAACCCATTTCTCTTTCTTCTTACCTAGTGAAAATCACATTTCTAATTTTTAAATGAAAAAACAACAAAATTGGGTGTTTTCCGGTTAGTAGATCGGTTAGAGTTTTAATCCTCACGGGAGTAGCATTTGGATGGATGATGACGCTTCATCTTCGAATCGGTCTTCCGGCTTTTGATCCTCTTCGAGTTCATTCGTCGGGGTGGATTAGGCGGAGCTCCGGCGTAGATTCCCGCCACCTCTTTGGGGCTATGAGGTTAGGACGATATTAGTGACATGTTCTTTGAATCGATTGAAGGGTTCAATGGCCGCGACGGCGGTTCCGGGGTGCTGGCCCTTATGAGCAAGTGCACAAAGACTTTTCACTTGTCATTGAAACGGTCAAACCGGCTCTGGTATGAGAGTGACGACAGCGACACATCAACAACTTGTTTGATAGCGACGCGTTAACAACTCAATGTATATTTTATTATGTTTGAGGTGCTTTGTATGTCTTCTGAACATTTATAATGGGTCTAAGTCTTTGTTGAAAAAAAAATAATATAAGCACATCACAAACATAGTTATTTGCCCTTAAAGTGAACCCGCCTCGTCTTGCAACTCCTTATAACTCCCTTCTTCTTAAAATGTACGGCACATGTGACTTTCTTGGTCTTTAATGCATGATTTTGACCATTAATATATACCAAAGTACTGAATTGAACATGTATACAAAATATCGTTGTATTTCTTGTAAAACAATTTTGAGTCGTATATACTGACTAAAAATCATAGTAGAAGTCATGTCACGAAGATCAGAAAATGTCAAGCGCTCCTTACATTAGATACGTGAGTCTTAGTGGGTCGTTGGCTCCACCTCTTATCTCCTTCTACGACATGGTGTCGTCGTCGCCATATTCACTTAGTCTACTGCAGCATAAGGTAAGAGGTCATTTGCGTTGGCCGACGACTACAGCATGCCTCGCAGCGGGTCAGCACCTCCGAAAGAAAGGGAGGGAGGACTTCATTCAGTGACTCCGCAATCGCCCTCTAAACATCAAAATAAGGTAAAGCTTGAAGATAAGTTTTGTACTTGATTAATTTCTCAGCCACTTCTTCCTTATTTCAAGAAATGATATCTGACGCCTGTGGAAACTCTTTCATTTCAAAAAAACATCTTCTTCTTAAGAAGCAAATAGCATTTCCTATTGATTTGTCCCCTGGACTAGACCTATGTAGATTAGAAATTAGGCCAACTCCAGCGCATGACCCCAAATGAATGTCGGTTTTGCGCGGATTCTGTCCGTTTGGGTAGAGCAATGGAGTCGTGTCCGGGTCTGTCCTACGATGCGGTGGCCATGCGCCCAGCGCGTGGATGCATCCTTTGGCCCCATCATGTCCGCCACCGTAAAAAATGCCCACATATTCATATTTCAATGTTCAAAACAAGTTTGCAAGTCCAAATATTAATTGTCCAAAAATAAAAATAGTTTTACAATCCAATCAAAATTGTCTCTAATAAAATAGTTTTACAACTATATCGAAATTGTCTTGAATGAACCAATACATCTATTAGTTGCCAATGTGAGTCCACACGTGCTCAACCAATTCATTTTAAATATCCAAATGAGTGTGATAATCACGCATTTCACGATGAAATTGGACAAACTGTTAAACGTGGCCGGTTCTTGATGCAGGGGCTCAACATTTTCACCTTGAAAATCAAATCCTTGGTCGAAGATGCTGCCATCACGCTCGTCCTCGACGATCATGTTGTGCATGATCACACAAGCTGTTATCACCTCCCAAAGCTTTCCTTCATCCCATGTCAGCGCAGGGTTTCGAACGATATCCCATCAGGATTGAAGCACACTAAAAGCACGTTCCACATCCTTTCTAGCACTCTCTTGCATTTGGGCAAATCTCTTTCTCTTCTCACCTTGGGGGCTCGAGATTTTCTTCACAAAAGTTGACCACCGAGGATATATACCATCAGCTAGGTAGTATCCCTTGTTGTACTGGTGGCCGTTGATTTCAAAGCTGACAGGTAGGGAGTGGCCTTCTGCAAGTCTTGCGAAGACTGGAGAACGCTGCAGCACGTTGATACCATTGTGAGAACCTGCCATGCCGAAGAATGAATGCCATATCCAAAGATCCTATGAAGCCACCGCTTCTAATATGACAGTGAATGCTTTAACATGCCCCTTGTACTGGCCTTGCCAAGCAAATGGGCAGGTCTTCCACTTCCAGTGCATACAATCTATGCTGCCAAGCATGCCTGGAAAGCCTCTAGCTATGTTGGTCGCCAACAATCTCTCTGTATCAGCGGCATTTGGCTGCCTCAAGTACTCAGGGTCAAACACTGCCACCACGGCCTTGCAGAAGCTGTACAGTGACAACAGACATGTGGACTCACTCATATGCACATACTCATCCACCAGATCGCCTGGAATTCCATATGCAAGCATGCAGATGGTCGCGGTGCATTTGTGGTAAGAGGAGAATCCAAGCTTGCCAAGGGCATCCGTCTTGCACTCGAAGTATGGGTCATGAGCAACCACTCCCTCTCTGATACGATTGAACACATGCCTTGCCATACGAAAACGGCGACGGAATTTATCCGGCTTGAAGAGTGTGGTGTTCGCAAAGTAATCGACATAGAGCAGGGTGTGGCCTCTCTCCCTGTTGCGGTTCAGTTTGGGAGCACGGCCAGGGAGTGACCCCCTGTACCGAGGAAGTTGCTGTTCAGTGTGGTCGTGAACGACCAGTGCAACCACCACAAGATCTTCATCATCCGGGGACGAATCGTCCGATGAATAAATGAAGTGGTGGAAAAAAAAATTCATCTCCACTATCCATACCTTTGTGGGCAAAGTGTCAAACACCTTGCGGTCGTGGTGGCAAAGAGACCGCGCTGATCACCTCGATGCAGCTAGGGTGGTTGGCGGCCGGCTACTGGCCGCTCTGGAGCACCCGTCTGGAGCTGTCGTGGCCGTCGTGGTCCATAAACGTCGTCGGCGGTCGTATCCCCTCTACCACCGGCTACGATGGCGACGGCCAAATCTCCTCCAAGTGACGGCCAAAATTCATACGGAAGCGCGGGCGTGGTGACGACCATGTCGAGACGTGCTCTAGTATGGACGACCGGGGAGGTGACAGTGAGGAGACGGCCGAAGAATAGTGCCGGCGCCGGCGGCGGGGGAGAGCGGGTGGAGGCGTTCGAAGCGAAAGGACTGCTACTGACCCCGACAGACGGGCCACGGGGGGACAAGGGCGTGCGTCGAGCCCGTCCGCGCAATGTCCGTTTCACCCTAAACTCAGCACAAATTTAGACTGAGAATGGGTCGAAAACGAATGAAATCCAGACATTTATTCATTTGAAGCCGCGCGTTGGACCGCACTATTCATACGTTCTGCCTTAAACGACGCACCGGAACACGATGGAATCGCGCGCTGGAGTTGGCCTTATGCGTCGCTACGCGGTTCCAAGGACTAGCAAAATCGAAATAGCGAGACGAAGTGAGTATCAAAACACAAAACTTCCGCGGTCCCACCGGCCAGCTCCACGTGTGTTGCACTTCCACAGGTCAGACTCGGCTCGATCCTGAAGCTGCTCCGTCGGCGCGCAACCTGCTTCGGGGGCGCATCCACCGACCAGAGCACCAGACGGGACACCGGCCGCTCGTCTCCTCCAGCCCCCCCTTCCGACCGCCGGCGATGAGCGGCGGCCTTCCGGGTTTCCGTACGCACCCTACTACTTCCCCCCAACTGAATCGAAGTCTCGATTCCCCTTTTGGCCTCGTTTCTCCTTTGCTTGTCTACTGCTGTAGCTCGCAGCATCGGTAGTGCGATCTGACCAGCAGGCCCGATTTGCTCTGCTGCAGACAATGCGCCGGTGTCGAGGGCCGTGGTCGTCGCCGCCGCGCTCTTCTCCGTCCCCTTCGGCCTCCGCTCCCGCTTCCTCGCCCTCGGCCTGTCCCACCAGGCAAGTCGACCTACCCTACCCACTACCCAGTGCGTGTGCTAGATCCTATTGTCTGAGCTGCGGTTTGCTAGGTGCCTGGGATCACACGGAAATGTTGCCAAATGCAGCTGATTGAGTTCACCATATCCTTTTGTAATGCAGAATCTGTACGAAAATCTGCGGATATGGAGGGTGATTGCCTCGTTGTTTGCCTTCTCGTCGTCGCCTGAGCTTATCTTTGGAGTGGCCTTGCTGTACTACTTCAGGGTGTTCGAGCGTCAGATAGGTTCGAACAAGTATGCTGTAAGTAAAAGGATATTTATGCTTAAGATGCTGCACCTGCACATGCAGTCGCTGTATTTAATTCGCTGATGCTGATTTAGTTATTTAAACATCTATAGGTGTTCATAGTCTTCTCCATGACGGTGTCTGTACTGCTTCAGATCCTAGCTTTAGGTTATCTGAAAGGTATGCGTTACTGCTCTTACTCATTTTCATAGCCCCTAGTCGAGTCAAATGCTGCTTAAGTTGTTAGTGTTCCGATCAGTTTATTTGTTTGGTATGTGTTACTTTTACTTGATACTTCATGGGAATGCTCATCTACCTTATAAATGCATATAAAGTTGGAAATTGATCTCCTTATTGATCATAAGGGTCTTTTCATGGCCAAACATTTGTTTCCTTTCAGCATAGCTTTCTTTGCACCAAAAATCAAGATCTGCAACAAGTGTTTACCATGTTTCTTTTTGTGTGGTCCTGAAGGTTAATTTCCTAATATCTTCAAGGGCCTCTGTATTGTCATAGATGGTTCTTATGTTGCCAAGTGTCAATAATGAGCCATCGAGCTGTTTGTTCTCATCCAAGCATTGATGCTTAAAGCCTTAAAGCCTGTTTTCTTAGCATAAAAGCTTTATGTGTCATTGTGTCATCTATCTAAGCTATTCTGCAAGCAATGTTCGTTATTCTAATTGAGGAAAACAAAATAACCAATAGGTGTGGTGCCTTTTCTGTTGCTAACTATTGCACTATATTGACTTGTTAGACTGATTTACTTACTATTTGCTTTTCTTATCTCCCTATGACATCTGTTTAGTTGTATTCCATTTTTATCTGACATCTCAGTCTTGGATTTGCAGATCCATCTTTCAATCCATTAACATCTGGACCATATGGCCTCATATTTGCATCTTATGTACCCTTCTTCTTTGACATTCCCATCTCAACAAAGTTTCGCATATTTGGACTGCAATTATGTGACAAGTCATTCGTATATCTGGCAGGGCTCCAGGTCAGTCCTAAGATAACTGTTATCCTTGTCTTGAATCTTCCACTGTTCTGCTGGTTGTAGCTTTATGTTTTGATTTTATATCTTCAGCTTCTTTTCTCATCTGGAAGACGTTCTGTTATACCTGGACTGTCTGGTATATTGGCTGGGCTTTTGTACCGTCTGAATATATTTGGTATCCGCAGGCTAAAGGTGACTCTACAAACATCTTTCTAGAACTTTGAATAATGTTTCTGCTCTTATCAGAGTATCAATTAATAACCATGCTTTCTATGTACAATTGCTTTTACTCTACTTGTCTATTTTCTACGTATGGTCCAATGTCTAATAATCATGCTTAGATCTCTAGTTGAGATATCTGATGACTTTGACACAAATGATTAAGGATTACCGTTGGTTACAAGATATTCTTAATGGCAATTTTCTTTCATGTATATTCCTTGGTAAGATTTACATGTCCATATGTGCTGTGCCTTTAGTTACGTTATAAAGGGAACTTTGAATCATTACAGGTCCCAGAGTATGCAACTTCACTGTTTTCACGGTTATCATGGCCCTTCTCTAACAACTCTTACCAAAGATTGCCAATCGCAACAACTGATGAGAACATTCCTCATCGCCAGACTCATCAAATGCAAGCAAGTATTTGCAATATATTGATTTTGTCGAGAGATTAGCAGATTACAGCATGTATATTCTAAAGCAATGATCTATTTTCTTGAAGAAAAAAAAAGAATGCCCCATTGAGTATTCGTTCCATTTAGTATTTTATTTTTGAATACAATGAAAGAGTATTTGAGGAAATCCAGATTTTACTGTTATAATTTCCGTGCAAAATGTATACTTGAAGTAAGCTTATGATCATAACAAGATCAAGTGACCTTTTTATTGGTAAAAAAACAAGATCAAGTGACCTGACCAAGCCATTTAAGGTCAAGTGGTGTTATCAGATCCTTTAAGTACAACAATAATTTGATTTTGCCCTTCAATAAAGTTAGATGGTATCGTTTAAGATTGAGCACATCTGATATCCCCTGGTATAACTGACCATTGTTCCTTATCGACTTTGATCCAGGGCGCGCACACAACTACCCCAGATCCAATGGAGTCGTCAATTGCCACGCTTGTTTCCATGGGTTTTGATCGTGCTTCTGCAATTCAGGCTCTTGCACTCACAAATAATGATGTAAATTTAGCCTCGAACATCCTGCTTGAAGCACAATCCACGTAGAAACAATGTCCCAGGCTGCAGACCGATACTTTGTAAATGTGAAGCATTTAGTTAACGGATTCTTCTGGTCCAGACTATTATCAGGATTTGTTAATTTTAAATCTCCATTCCATCTAAGTTAGAAATATGGAAAGAAATGCAAGAGAACTCCAAGCTATACTGTTCCCTGTGTAATATCTCCGTTTTGGAACACTCCGTTGAAGTGAAAATGAGTTCTGCATAGCATAAAAAATGCATCCTCCTATGAGTCTGAAATATCTTCCCTTTCAAATTTGTTCACGAAAGTATAGTAAAGAAATGGTTTTCACTCGGTGTTCATTATAAAATGGATCGATTTAATTCTGAAATATTTTTATGTAAATTAATACTCCACTCGGTTGGTGAAGAACCCTAAAAATGTAAAGAATTTAAGCTCAGTTCAATAGGGTCCGGCTGACGGGCTGAGGCCACTTCAGAATTCAATACTACTATGTTGGAACCATGATAATTTGCGAAGAAATACCAACTCAGAAAGCCTGACACTACCAGAGAGGTCCAGAAACCTCAACGCAGAACATACCGGACGGCATCAAGTGATACAATACCGAAAATGTGCCATAACATAGAAAATACAGAGCTTAGGAAAGACAGGAAGAATGGCGGTGGCGTACAAGCGGTAGTTGCGATGATAA